ATATCATACAGGTGAAGATGACAACTAGGGACACAACAGTTGATTGCCTTATCATCACAGTTACTGGTAATAAATCTGCAGCAATATCCAGGCAGCAGAGGTTCAGGAGAGATTTCTCCCCATCCATGGATGTCAAGAAAAAATATTTGAGGAAAAATACATGAAAAGTGTTTACAAATGTTTCTTGCTTGTAACACAAATTTCCCCTGATACTCATTTCTGAGTGATTTTAAAAGATCTGCTTTCAGGTCTAATTTAGGCTTTGTCTACTCACAAGAGGGTTGCTAACATCTTTATGTTGTTTAAGAATGTGAAAAGCCATACCTCTAACCAACAATAGCTATATCAGCAAAAACCCCAGCGTTGATGCACATAACCAAAAAATCCCTGCTTGACAATGCAATTTATTCTGTTTTGGAAACTGGGTTACGGTATGAGTAAAAGAATGCTTTTGCCAGTCTGAGCTGTATCTCCACAAGGTAGGTGTTGGTTTGCTCATATAGCTCAGCTAGTTTGGCTAGTCAGCCCTGTAGTGTAAATGAGACTTCAGGTTAGAACATAAACTTTGCTGCACTGGAGTCCTCATTTGACTTCAGCATTTGCAAGATGAAACTACTAAACATTTCCTGTACAACAATCACACTTTGTTGTGCTTCCAGGCTGTCCTCAGACAAGCATAACAAATACATAATGACATGCTGTATTTTGACATTTAAGGGGGAAGACCAGGCAAAGGTACTGGGTGGGACTGGTCTTCAAGCAAGAAGAGCACTGAAAGCCACATCAGACACATGGGTCTGCACCTGTCACACCATCACTCCATTAGCTAGCAGGGCCTCAAACTTTTAGAGTCAGGGCACTGCCTCCCCCCACAAATATTTTGAATTTGGTGGCTACCCCTGTTAAGAACGATGGCTGATGCTGCCTCTGCTTACCTCAGTGGTTCTCAACCAGTAAAACTGCCGTGTGCCCGATGCACAACCAAACTGAGGGCCTGGTTATATGTTCTACCATGAGCTTGCATAAATGTTGATCAGCTTAGTGCTAGCTTGCAGTAACACCTTCAACCTAAGCAACACATCTGTGGGGAGTAGCCACACTTTAATGGAACAGGAGTTGGGTTATGTGGATCAAGAAATAATCCTGCCCTGGTATAACTTTGAGATGCATAATGAGTGCTTTAAGCCACTTAAAGGTGTTAACATGTGGACAATCCAGGGGTTAAGAGCTCCAGGAGCAGGCAGGAGAGCTGAGCCATGCTGCTACCCTTCCTAGTCCAACCCTTCATGGCATCTCCCAGACAGAGACACACAGGGCAGGTGGAACTGTCTTGCGTACCTTTGTTTCTATGAGAAGTGTGGTGGGAGTGGACTGGGAAGACCTGTGGCACGAGGAAGCTGTCCTGCCTGCTTTATATTTATTGGAGACCCCTAATGAGGCAGGAGAAGTGTGTGCATGCCACAGCCCTTTTCAATCTGGCTGGGCACCAGGTGTGTGGGGCACTCTTACCTGGTCACCCACCACCACAGCAGTGGCAGTGGTGCCTGTGCCTTTGGGTGCCTGGTACTGCAGTTGAGAACTACTGACCAAGGGCCTGCACTCAGATGTGCACATTTCATGAGCCACAGGGCTGAAATGAGATTTTCTTAATGTTTGTAAAAATAATATTATAACTACCATTCAGTTTCAAGAGAACAGAGGTCAACTGAATGTTATTAATTCTGTGCATTTTGCACCATGCCCTAATGGCCTAGTTGTAAACTCCTCTTCTGAGACTCATGAAACCTGGTTTTAATTCCCTGCTCCACCACAAGCTTCCTGAATGACCTTTGGGCAAGTCACTATCCTTTCTATATCTTCAGTTCCCAATGTATAAAATCAGGCTGTTAATACTTCCCTAATTCAGAGGAGTGTCATGGGAGTAAGTGGATTAAAGATTGTGAGGTGCTCCAATACAGTGTCAATATGACTACTAAAGGTAGTCCTAGATAGTCCAAAGACACCTAAGATAAGTCCTAAGTTATGTCATTTACTAGTTAACATAGAAAAATGAATACAATAGGATATTATGGTCATGTAGCCAGTTTGTGACTTCTTTTAGCAAATAAAAACAGGAAATGTGTGTTGCCAAAATGCTTGTGGGGTCAAGACACCAGGGGTCAAATTCCTTGGAGTAGCACTTGCTTAGGCCACCACTGATTTTGATCCAAGATGCTTAATAATTAAGCTCATAGGTAGGTTAAGCAAATTTCGGGAATTTATGTGGTTTACAAGAATTTCAACAACAGCACAGGTATAGGAAAAAGGTCTAAAAACAAGCAATTTCTTATCTACCCATCTTTGCTTCTCATTAAATGGAAGGAGGTCTTTTAAGGGGACCCTGAAGAAAACTATCTTTAGTTGAATAAAAATATTGGTTCTTTTAGAAAGAAAAAATTGTCTTATCATGGTCTTTAGTTTTTGTTCTGTTTGAATGCATGAACATTTGCTTGATGGTTGCATTATTACTACAGGAAGATACACTGGATTTCTTTTGTAATCTAAAGTAAAATTATAGAGAGAAATAACCAGTGACATGAAAACTCCCATGTTTGTATATGAGATCACTGAATAACTGAAATTCCCTTGCAAATACCAATTGGACAAATATTGGACAGTATTGTAAGGACTTAATTCAATAACCTGCAAGCTTACAAATTGCATACATGCATCTTTTCAGGGGAAAAAGCAACTGAAAATAACTGGTAAATAAACAAAATAAAATAACAGCCTTGTGTCTGAATATATACAGAAATCAGGGTTGCTGGTTCAAGCACAAATATGTGGCAAAGGGCACAGAACTAGGTGCTTCTCCAAAGCAAAGGTCCATATTATTTGAGCATGATAACTAGTTGTAGTAATTAATACGCCTCAGTGTAGGGCAGCCACTAGAGGGTTACATAACTACTCATGAGAAGCACTAACACTTGGTCTGATAGGATATACTGCATCAGCTTGTATAATATACTGCCTACATTAAGGGGAGATTTGTTTGCTTCAATGTGAATATGGCATGTCTACTAACCTTAGTGGAAATAAAACACAGGTATCTTGTGCAGGAAAAGAATACTTTTCCACTCCTTGTTTGCACATCCATATTTGGCCTGTAATAAATAAGGATCAAAAGCTGAAGGAACTTTTGAATACTAGTCTTTAGGTGAGGTTGTTGAAGGCACAGATGGCAATAAGTTATCTAATACCTGTCTTTAAATAGTTCACTCTCACAAAAATATCATCTCAGAATTTATTCCCCAAAACAGGCATGCCCGTTGTTGCTTATCAAACTCCAACATAAGGAGTCTCATACTATTCTCTAAAAATGTAAAGCGCATATTAAAATGTTGGCATCAAATAAACATAGAAAAAGTTAACAAATACTAATATACCAATGTTACCGTATGCCACTACTGAGTCTTTTATTGTTGTAACCTAATTAGACACATTAACTGCACAACACATTCTTTAAAAGGTCATTATGCACATATAACTTTTATTCACAGGCAACTATAACACATGATTATGCTCTGATATTTTCGTAAGATGAGACATTCTTGTGAATATTTCTGATAGTCAAATTATTTGCTATATTAGTCATCAACACAGAACAGAGAATGTACAAGCGTAAGAGTTATACTTCAAGGTTTTTAAATTAAAGTTGATATTTCAGAACATTTTTTGACATACAAACCATCTTGGGCAGGAGGGAATCTTCAACATATTTTTTTTTACAGTAAGGCAAAAAAGCCCAATATTTGTATATCCTGGGTGCGTCTACACATTCATTAATGTACCATAGTTACTGTGCATTCATTTTAGTGCTTGGCTAACCAAGTACTAAATCAATGCACAGTAACTCATGCTACAGCAAAGTAGCACTGGCATATGGGTTTTTAGTGATGCATACTGTGCAGTAGCATATTAACATGGTTTTTGCCAGACACACTACTGTGCAGTGTTATTGGGCTACTGCACAGTTAACATCTCATGTAGACACACTCCTTGTGTACTAAATATCCATTGAGTAACTGTGACAGCTGGTACAGATGTTCAAATAATGTACATACCATACCATAAAAGGTATTTTTTCTTTGTAACACCAATATTAAAAAGTGTAGCTGTGGGTCTTCTGGCTCTATTTTGGTACCTCACTCTCCCTGTTTATGTCATGTTCCACATTCTGAGCTGGATTCTGACATTTATATATGTATATGTATACTGAGCAAGTGTTGTCAAAATCAGGTTCCAGTCCCACAAAGCATGTCAATACTCCCATTAAAATAAATAGAACTAGTCATATGCTTCCTGTTGGGGAGGTGCAGAAGAATGCTTTGTTCAACAGGCACCATAATTTTAAATACCTTTAAAAGAATTCTCACACATTAGGCCTCTGCTTCCCAACCAAGACTTATGAAGTGGTGCGTTAAAAATTATTATGTAGCCATTATCTACTTGCCATATACTGATACTCATAGAAATATATATTTATTAAGTATGTCACCTTCAGATACCTCAGATCTGTACAGTATAATTTGGTACTATGGATAATATTTTGATTAATATTAAATAAAATTCTTATTTAAAATTTAAGGTTGCAGAAAAGAAGAAACATACAAGGTTGTGACATTTGGTACATATGTCCCCCAGTTAATATAACTTTTATGGTGGTTTTCGGAAAAAACTAATTTCACGTAATCTGGTTAGGAGGTGATTTTCAGGATGAATCTACAGATTATCTACAGATGATTTCTAAGGATGGATTTAAATTATGCTTTTAGAAAGGGAGGGTATATGTGACATTGAGATAAGGTCTGTCCTGAGATGTTGCTCAACTAGTGAATTTGTTCAGGGACAAAGTGAACAGAGATGTTAAATATTAACAGAGAGATGATGACTCTTAGTCATCTGACCTATCATAAACAAGACAGGAAAATTAAGAATGCCTCATCCATATATATATATATGAACTAACAGTGTGTCTTGCCATCAGAGCCTTCAGCAGAGGAAGCTGAGATGTTCAAGCAAGTCAGCATCATGAAGTTGTTGCTCTTGTTTCTGCTCTGTGTTTCCATAGTTAAAGCCCAGGATCAAACAGACTACGATCCTGAGGTTGTAGTAGAGATAATACTTAATAACAATAATAATGTTTAATTTTATTTGATGGCATGCATGACTTTGTAAGCTTTTGAATTCAATTAATCTACAGAAATGAAAAATGTTAAACTACATCGAGAATATATTCATGCTCCACTTATGGAGCTCAAGTGCTTCTAATTATATTTTTTCTTTCATATTTAACAACAAAATAGTTTCATTTATATTTTCTGATATGTTTTCCTTTCTTTCCTTCTCTTGTTGTAGGATGGTGACACCCCTACGGTAAGACTGGACTTTTTGCTATGCTCCACTAAATAGGTTCAAGAATTTGCAGCAATGTTGATTTTTCATGAATAGCCCAGGAAGCAAACTCTGCAGGTTGAAAAGGGTAGCAAAGTATGCGATAAGTAATGTGTTGAACCAAAGTTTATTGTTGTCAGTGGCAATCTTTCCATTGATTCATTCGACTTTGAATAAGACCTTAAATGAGCAACAAAAGCAATTGGCTGCCAGCTCATACAGCTCTGGATTATAAATCAACTCTGGATTATAAATCTATATGTGCACTGATGCACAGTTAAAAACTCTACAGCAGGATAGTACTTGTATTAACAAGTACTTTGTATTAACAAGTACTATCCTGCTGTGGAGTTAATTAATTTACTCCAGCCTAATAGGGGTGCACGTGTAGATGTGTAATGTTTACTGCAGAGCTACTTAGTCTACTGTGCAGTAAACATCCTGTATAGATGTGTCCGGAGAGTACCTTTTGGAACAAAATTAGAGGAAATTGCAAAACAATCAGGGACCATCTATTATTAGCTTATTCACATTTACACCTCTGATATATTTCATTTTACTGAAGGAAAGAATTTAAGATAAAATTATTATTTGATTTAGGGTCTGCCAATATTTGTTTTATATTTTACAAACCCCAAACAAATGAGGACCACCAGCTGGGGATGAACAAGAAACTTTTTCTTAAATATTATTTTCTGGAAATATTATTCTACTAAATAGCTTCCCAGTAGGTTTCTAATGCATACATTGCTTGCTTTTTTGTTGTCTAATCCTGAAGTCCTTATCTGTGAGATAAGTGTTACTAATTTCAGTGGGATAGCGTAGAAGTGTGGAAGGTTGGAGAAGCATTTGATTCAAAGTCTTGATCTTTTGATCCAGACAAAATATTTACGTTCCCCACCCCTGTTTTTGTTATTCAGCACTTTGGAGTTTTTAGTGATCGTGTTTTAAAATAGATAAATAGGGTTTTTTTAGAAAGTGTTTAATGCTTTCAACAGCTGAAAATATAATGCACTACAGCAAATGAATAAATTACAATCTCAGTGCTGCCTACAAAAATTTGTGGACATGATTCAAATTCTTAAGTCATCCCCCTCCTCCCTACCTGACACCCACTATTTCCTGCTACAGAATTTAGGATCATGGCTGCTTTTAGTTATGTTTCTGTGCTTGTGGTAAGTAATATTGCCCAATCATGGTTTTAACGTGCTTCAAAAATTTACCTTACTCATTGACTGAGGAATTAGTTCAGGCCAGAGCTACAGCTGCACAAGTATCTTATTTCTGACCATGTCCAGAAACATACATCACAGGAAGGTTCAAGAGAATCCCAATTGAGGGCAATTATAGAATAACTTGCCTTTCATTTTTTATGTTAATCGCCTGAGTACATACTGTCTTCTTAGCTATATGAAAAAGTGGGTAATCCCCACTTTTTTTTAATTCCCTTTTAAAGCTCCATGGTATACAATGGTTATGTTGTATAAAATGTATTTCTTGTGATTCGCTCTAAATTTGTTAATTTTTTCTGGGCCTTTTCTCTTTTTTTGCTATTCTGAAGTGTACTGTTTAGCCTGGCAAGAAAAGGCATACCTATTACTAACACATAGCATAATATTGCATTATTATTCCTATTTCACTTAGCTCTCCTAATATCTTTTTTCACTCTTTTTTGTCAAAGCTTGTTGGGTAAATGCTTTTGTTTACCTGCCCATGATAATGCTTAGGTCTTTGACCAAAAATATCTTTTTATTTTAGATAGAATTAGCATGCTTCTTTTGTTAAATTTAAAACTGATAAGATGGTGCAATGATAATTGAAATGTACAGATAAATACTTATTTTATTATTGCATGTTTACATATCCAACTTAAAAAAATGGGTATTATAATATTCTAACAATGAATATTATAATGCACGGTTATGAAGGGTTTTCTCTTGCTTTTCTTTATGTAGGGTGGAGAAAAAACCGCAGATGCTCGAGGACACAGGCCAGTGGATAGAAGACGGGAGCTAAGTCCAACCCTTAGACCAGCTCCTCCTCCCATTGCTGGAGGCGGATATCGTCCTCGTCCAACGAAACCACCCACCAGTGGCCAACAGAAAAGGCCCATTGTTTATCCTGACGTTGGAGGCTGCAAGCATGCAGCAGATGAGCTAGTAGGTCTATTCATATTATAACTGTAGCGTAGACTGATGTTGTTAACAATAAGAGTTTTTTCCTTGATTTCAGAAATGTATCAAATCTCACAGCAGTGTGGACTTATCTGAGCAAAAAAAGGTTTCCATTAGGTACCTGCCAATCCTTTCACTTCATTACTGTTGTCTTTTATCAATATTGCATGTGGAAAATGCAGGGTTAGAACTTGGTGGGCTTGTTCAGCTGCTCAACAGGTCTTTTCTTCCTGGAATATTCCTTAGGCAATTGAGAATTTGATACACAGATTTTTCCAGTTGGATATTGATGCTTCTCCAGAAATATTTTTTTTCTAGAATTTATCTTTTAAAATTGTTGCTCAGTTCATTCTTTTATTCTTTCTGACACATTCTATATTGCTGTTGATTTCATGGCATTATCCCTGGACTCAGGTCTTATTTAAGCAACTAAAATAATTAACGCTTTGAACTTATAGAGAAAAAAATTATAGTGAGGCTAAGCATACCCATGTTTGAAAGTCTGGGCTCTAAGGGTACTTGTACACAGTCTGGGGGGCTGCTCCAATGCACTGGAATTACAACTAGTTAGAGCATGCTAATTAACATACTCCAGCTTCCATGTCTTATGTATTTGCATCCCCACACTTCAAAATGGCAGCAGGAGTGCTTTAAAGCTCATTCAATGAGCTTTAGACAAAGTGCCCTACTGCCATTTTGAAGCATGGGGATGCCTATACACAAGATTCTCCAGGAGCATTAATTAGAGCAGTACACAGAGCCATTCTAATTAAAGTGCCCCCCTCCCCTCCAAAGCATGTGTAAAAATGCTCTAATTTACCACACTTGTAACTGATTCTTTTGTTTTTTAGGGCGTGTTGTGTCCAACTGGATGTGAGCTGCAAATGACATTGGTAAAGCAAGAGAAAAGTGTGAAATCAACTGTTCATGACCTAAATGATAAAGTACAGAAATTATCTGAAAACTCTGGAACTTTCCAAGTGTATGTGACTACGATAGAAGAGAATTTGGTAAAAAGAAAGAAACAAAGAACAGGTACATTATTCATAAGTATCAGTGAATTAAATTGGGATTACAGACATTTATATTGCCACAGTTACTTATACATAACTTGGGACTTCTTTAAAGGGTTACAGATATTAAAGAGCATTCATCTTGGGAGCTACGATCTCACAAACTCATAATCATAAATCTAATAATCCAACAGGAGGGACATGAGCTTGGCTCTGCTTTTATTGAAGTCAGAGGTAGAGCACTCACAGGGCACCCCAAAGTTATTCCAACAGCCCCCTCTCTTCCCTCACTGCTTTCCGATGCCCATCTCGTTTTTGAGGTCCAGTTCTTGGGCAGCCATTGTGGCTTCTAGAAGCATGTCTCTTACAGTTCCTTGGCAATAGGAACAAATAATGAATCTACAAGTATACCCTCATTGCAGGGCTTAAAGAAAAGTGTTTGATGCAGTGGAATCAAGGTAGCTAGGAGAAAAGCAATAAAGCAGTCTTTCCATGGCTAAGGAAGAAGTAAAATCTTAAATACTGCTGACTAATCATATTTTAGAATGAAATTGTCTTCAACTATTTGGCAAACAGGTTGCAAATCATGATGCCTTTTATACATTTTTGTTTTTCAGAGAATCAGAATGTAGTTTCTGAGTATAACACAGAAATAGAGCAGCACTATCATTTCGTTAAAGAGAATATGGACAACAACATTCCATCTGCCATCCGAGTTCTTCGTTCAATTGTGGACAATTTACACAAAAAGATACAAAAACTGGAAGCTGCCATATCATCCCAAATGGACAACTGCCGCTCCCCTTGCACTGTTTCTTGCAATATCCCAGTGGTTTCAGGCAAAGGTAATTCATGGAGATCTAAAGAAAATCTCCCATTTAAATCCTGGTACAATTGGTACATTATCCAATTCAATTTCATCTTCTTGTTAAGTGTCTGATACTAGCAACCAATTAGGATACCAAGGCAGATAGACCAGCATCCTAAACGGATATGGAAAATCATGTGTGTTACCTGTTGTATATTTTAATTGGGCTTTGGATTTTTAAATGGCCTAATTGTTGTGGGAGCAGAAGTTTCACTGGCTTTCAAAATATTATAGAAAGCGAATAGGAATTTGTGCTCCTAAATCATTTAGGCAATTTTGAAAATCTCAGCCTATATGAATGTCGGTTAGTGGCTCTTTCTTGATTCTTTTGAATGGCATATCATTTATCATTTGGATCAGAGATTCTTAACCAGGGTGCCAAGGCACCCTGGGGTTCCACAAGATCCTTTTAGTGCTGTTAAATGTGCAAACACCCACATGCAAACCCAGACATTTCAAACAGAAATCTGTTCTGTCAAAGCATTCCGACCTGTTGTGGTCTTTCTGAATTCTTTGCATCCTTGAAATAGATAAATTGCTTTATTATTTTTCCAGAGTCAAAAAGGTAAGAGCTGACATTTTCCAAGGGTTGTTTTGGGTCTATAAAGGCTGAGGGAGTGATTTAAACCAAGGTGAAATCTAGCTTAATTTAGATTTTAAAAAATATTATTATTGTGTAATCAGCAAAAAGAAGGATATCCTTTTAATCATTTTCTCCATGCAGAGGATTGTTCTAGTAGAAGATGATAGCTCTCAAAATAAGATGCACTATTGGTTTATGCTTGCAGAATGTGAAGATATTTTCAGAAAAGGAGGTGAGACATCAGAAATGTACCTCATTCAGCCGGATACTTTCACCAAACCTTACAAAGTTTACTGTGATATGTCTACAGAGAAAGGAGGTCAGTGTGAGATAAATTATGATGTTGTGAGAAGGAAAATATTGACAAAAAGAATTTGCACTCTTACTTATTTGCATTTGTGCATGTTAGGATGGAATCACAATTTACTGAATTTATTATTAGTTAATTTAAAGCACTTGTTCTCCAGCTATGTCTTGTGATCCATTTATATTTTATTACTATAGCATCTTCTCTGTAGGTTATGGCATATTACTTCCTCACACAAGCTTTTTTTGTAATCTACAGAATTCTTAAATGTTTTGAGAACCAAGTACGGGGAGACTGGGTTTTGAGACAGAAGGGGGCCCATAACAAGAGTTTCTCTAGTAAAGCTGTGAAAGAAATGGTTGAATAATCATGAAATGGGCTTAGTATATAAAATGTTGATACATTGTAAAAGGACAGTGTAGTTGCGGGGGCTAGCTAGGGCTGCATACAGACATTTGGGGAGGTTAGGGGGAAGGAAGTTAGATTGAGTTAGAAATAGCCACCTGATCTAAGGCAAGTCAGGATGGGCTGGTTGTATGGTGGTTATTGATCTGCACTTGTTCAAGGACTGCATTGTATTATTTATTAATCCACAAAAAAGAAGGAAACATGGGAGGAAATGCAACTGAGGCTTCCTCTGCTTCCCAGAACTCCTCCTGGAGGTCTAGCACCATATCATCACCTCCAACCTATTTCAAAATCTAGTGCAGCATGAAGGTCTTCTAGTATTTCTTGCTTCTGACATGGAGCTAGATGCTCAAGCCAACAGAACAATTTAACTTTTGAAAGATTATTTCAAGTAGTCATGCTCCAAAGAGAGAACTATTGCTTCTCTAATGTTGTCATTGCTTCTGTCTTAAGGGAACAAACAATTCCCTGAGACTCTGGGAATAAGGTACTGCTCAACTTGAGTAAAGAGAGAAGTTTATAAACAGTAACATTTCAGTCCTGCACCAATTTGAAGTCAACTGCGAAGTTCCCTTGGACACAAATAGGATCAGGGCTGTGCCCTAAAATTATTTTTCCAGTATATAATTTATAAATTGTTGCTGTTACAGGATGGACTTTGATTCAGAACCGTCAAGATGGAAGTGTTGGCTTTGGGAGAACATGGGATTCATATAAGAGAGGATTTGGAAATGTTGCAAAGGGTAGAGAGAAAAAATACTGCAATTCCCCAGGTAAAATTCTGAACACAAAACATGAACCGGTTTTGTACTTACAACTATACTGTTATGTTTCTTATAGTTTCCCACAATCAATTAGAAAAAATTTCATGAACTAACCAACTGCAATAGATTTTGGGCAAGTAGTAAAGATGCATTAAAGTATATTCTGAATGTCATTTTCCAGAATTTGCTTTCATTGTTTTCAGGTGAATATTGGCTTGGAAATGATAAAATCAGCCAGCTCACCAAAATCGGACCCACTGAGATTTTAATTGAAATGGAGGATTGGGATAATAATAAGGTTTTAGCTCAATATGGAGGATTCACCATCCAGAATGAGGCACACAAGTATCAGCTCTCACTTAGTAACTACAAAGGCACGGCTGGCAATGCCCTTATGGAAGGAGCTTCACAACTGCATGGCGAGAACAGAACAATGACAATTCATAATGGCATGTACTTCAGCACTTTTGACAGAGACAATGATGGATGGTATGCGCAATATTTGCATTAGCGATTTCATTAGGTTGGGGTTTTTTTATATTGAGGTGCAGCTAACATATGTAAGACCCTAGTGCTTAATGTGCAGCTAACTACATTGTTCCATAGTGTCTTCAAATATGCTCATTCAGCAAAGTTTCACAATCACACAAGGTATGTGATCTGCCAGTCATGAGCCAGGTACATGCAATGTTCCACTGACATATCCAAGGGCAGAATTTTCCCCAATGAAGCCATGGGTTGGATTTCAGCCATACCAGAATCAAATACTAAGAACCTTCAAACACAGCTGCACTGTTTCTGATAATCATATCAATGTCTACAAATTGGCATTTTTTCACACCATGCAATCCTTTTAGTAACTGAAGATGTTACTGATTAAATAGCACTCATAATGACACTGATTCAATAAACAAGTGAATACTTAGTACTAGAAAGAATTTGGGCAAGGAGTACTAGTGGAAGGTAATATCTGTTTAAGTCCTTGACGTCTTATAATCAGTTTTCCAACCTAGAGGTGACATCTCTGTGGTATGAACTAATGTCAAGTGCATTCTAGAATAAGAATAAGGTCATCAAGATTATTTTCAAATGCTACCAAAACTGCATTGAACCCAGATAACTAGAAATCAAAATAGAATACAGGGAGTGTGTTTACATGTGACATTTACTGCAGAGCTCACTAATTAACTCTGCAGTAAAGCATCAGCATCCACATGTACAACACTATTAGGCCACAGTAAACTAATATGCGCTGCCATAGGATAGTACTGCCCAACACAAGTAATATCTTAAGCAGCATTATAGTTTCATAGTTGGTAGGGTCAGAAGGGACCTGAGCAAATCATCAAGTCTGACCCCCTGCCTCCACAGGCAGGAAAGAATGCTGGGGTCAAACAACACTGGCTAGGTGATTATTTAGCCTTCTTTTGAAGACCCCCAGGGTAGGAGCATTTATTTAGTGTGCTGCAGCACACATGTAGATGGGGATGGGGCTGGCTGGGGCATGAGAGTGCTTCAGTGCGGGGGGCTGCCAGCTCAATGTGCTGTGGTCATTGGCACACATTGGCAATGTGTAGGGAGTGCACACAGGTGCATCTGCACCCCTTGCGATCGGCTGGGCACCCTCTCAAAGTGCCAGCCATGAAACCGGAAGTGCTGATGGAAGTGCACTTCCGGTTTTGCCGCTGGCTCTGAGATCTGCCCTGTAAGTTTTAACAAGGCACATAAGTAAGCCTGTTTTGTTACCAAGGGCTGACAAATATCAGCAAACTAAAGCAGACCCTCCCCTAAAAAAGATAGAGCAAGAATTGTGCTCAATAATTTGATGACAGAGGATCATCTTTCAAAAAAGATTACTTAATAGCATTTGTAGATGATTCATTTTACATGGCAATTCCTTTTGTGAACTTTTCATTATTGATTGGCTACTAGCAAGCTTTTTTATCCAGTGAGGTGTATGGCGCACACTCTAGACAGTTAGTCTTTGGTGGAAAATTTAGGGACAACTTTTGATACATTTTTAGGATCAACAAAAATAGACACGCACACACACACACAAACAAAGTTATTCTGTTGTCTTGTCTATGTACAGTTCATTCATTATTATTAACTGTGTATACTTTTTCCTCTAGGATACATGCAGATCCAAGAAAACAGTGTTCTAAAGAAGATGGTGGTGGCTGGTGGTATAATCGCTGCCATGCAGCCAACCTCAATGGCAGATATTATTGGGGTGGGCTATACACCTGGGATATGGCAAAACATGGTACAGATGATGGTGTTGTATGGATGAATTGGAGAGGGTCATGGTATTCATTGAAGAAGGTGAGTATGAAGACTAGACCATACTTTCCACAGTAAATGAGCAATGTCAAATGTTTTCATGCTCATATCTTGGATACCTTCTTTGAGTGCATACCCACTGAATTTCGTTTACATCAAAGAAATGCACCAAAGTTTATATTTGAATATATTGTGACCTAAACTGGAATGTATGCCTGGCCCATTAAAATAACTCACAAGAACTTTTGTACCATTTTTTATTTGATCCCACGATACACATATAACTAGCAGCATTATTTATAGTCTTGAATCAGGTCCATTCCATTTGCTTATAAAACCATTCAAAACCAGAGGGAAAGAATTCTTTAATTTTACTAGCTCCTTCATTTAAATTATACATATTTATACATTTTTAACACAGAAACAAGTGTTTTCAGTGAGGTGTATTAATATTCATTAAACATTTTCTGCTACTGTAGAAGAACGTGTTCTTATTTTATATAATGTAAGGTGCACTAACCTGACACACAATCCAATGAGAAGGAATAAAGAAAAAGATTGTAAAAAGTCACAAGCCACCACTTGTTCTGTTCAGATCTTACCCCCTTAGTCAGTGGTTCTCAACCAAAGTACTACAGCAAGCTGGGGTGCCATGAGATCTTTTAAAGGCTGTTGCATGATGCTTCTCAATATTAGCACTGTGATGTGTACAAAACCTACAAAAGTCACAAGATAAATTCAGAGTTTTCAAACAGGAATGTCAAATATATTCTAACCTGTTATGGTCTTTCTGAATTCTTTGCAAGAAATGAATTGTTCTATCACTTTTCCATAGTCAAAAATGAGTGAAAGCTATGAGCTAGCATTTTCTGAGAGGTACCATAAGCCTAAGGAGGGGTCTCTTGAGTCAAAAAGATTGAGAACCATTGCTGTAGACCAGGGATGGACAAAATACATCCCACAGACCAGATCTGACCCACCAACTGATTGTATACAGCCCACAGCTGCCTCCATGATGCTCTGCATTGGGCTGAGCCTCACCTGTTCCCACCTGGGGCAGCCTGCACCGTGTTCTCACCATACCTGCCCTATGCCTGGTGACTGTACTGTCCCAGCCCTGGCCCTGGCCCTGGTCCCAGCCAGCATACACAGCTTCCCAGTGGGGCTGCTCCCACTGCTGCTGCAGTCACCCAGGTACAGCTCAGCTCTCCTTTCCTTCCTCTTCCTCCTTCTCTTACTGTCCCTGATGCACCACCCCAGACAACAGGAAGCATGTGATGTAGTGGTAGAGTGGGGATGTGTGCCTCTCCCTTCCCCTCCTCCTTTCCCCAACCCCTAGCCAGCTCCGAGGACCTATTGAATGGGCAGCCCCCCACAAACACATACACACCCACCCCCCTCACATACACACCACACCCCTTCCACACACATGCTCCCACCCCACCACACACACAATATACCAGTGTAAGACTTTATTTTGACCTATATGGAATCACCTCTATATACACTACTCAAAAAACATAAATCAGAGCAAAAAATATTTTTTGAAATAAAATTAAAATGTGTTATAGTAGATGATTGATCTTTAATATGATTTTTTTCAACTATAATTTGTTAAAATGATATCTTCTGAAATATTTTGTGTGTGGCTCTCAACAGGTCACCAGAACTTATTAAGTGGCTCTCCAGCTGAAATAATTGCCCTCCCCTGCCCTAGACTGAACTTGCTTTTCCCTACTATGTAGTTCACATACCATATCTCAGATACTCCTCTTTCTCCACTTATTGCATAAATCAAAGCTCTATAAGGACACTGAGGATACATACATATAGTTTCCACATTGTTGAAGTAGATTTATCTAGGCCTCTAACTTGACTATACATTTATCCAGGCCTTTAACTTGACTATAAATTTATCCAGGCCTCTAAGTTGGCTATAAAATGAAGAAAAAAATGCTCTTGCTTAGTATTTTAAAATGTTTTAAGATAAGGAAAAACTCTTCTGCTTATTATGACTCCATGCACAGTTCTTTAGGAACAAATGTTTCTCTCTTTCCTAAAAACAAAAAGGTGATAACAGTTCTCAAAAACAAAAACTTGTTGATGAGCAAGCAACTGTTATGATTTACCCCGACTTTCTTTTCCAGGATGCTTTGTTTAAACAATTTTAGGTATAAAAAGGTATATTAACTTGTAGAGGGGGGGAGTTCTGCTTAGATCTCCTCCCTATGATTGTATGGTATGAGTGCCAATAAACTCAGACTGGGTCTGTGAATTCTAATATGAAACACAACACAAAGTTTAATTTCTTCCACAACATGTACCACATTGTACTACTGGAGCACCTAGAGATTGTAGTCAGATAAGGAACCAGCATGCTGGGCTCTTTATGAATGCATAGTGTAGCAGTTCCTGTCCTAAAGAGCTTGCAGAGAAGATGCAAGTGATTGTAATAAACAGCATGGCAGAGGAGGAGCTACAGTAAAAGGACAGTGTCGTTGGGTGGGCTTGCTGGGGCTGCATACAGACATTTGGGGAGGTTAGAGGGAAGTTAGATTGAGTTAAAATAGCCACTTGATCTAAGGCAAGTCAGGATGGGGAGGTTAGCAGCGGATGCTGGGGGGATCAGGGGGACAAGC